CCTAGATTACTTGTTGTATTAAACTGAACTACTTTTCTTGTTATGGTCAATTGAAAAGAATTTGTGTTAAAATGTTGAAGTGGACTTGTGAACCTCGGAATAAGAAAATGCTAGTTATGGTTTTGGAGAAATTCTATAGAAGTACAGCTCCTAATGGACTTGGAGTTTATGTTTATCTAGCATGAGTCTGAGATCATTGTATCCGAGGTCATAGAGTTTATTATTATTCCCTCTGTGTCCTTTAATGTACGGGCTAACTGAAGGACTTATTTTGGTCTTTAAATGAAAGGCCTCATCCCCTTGTCTCTTCAGTGAAAAAAATCCCCTTTGCCTTCAATGTTTATTACTTTTTCCCAAACAACCCTATAGTTAGATTCATGTATGGTATATAAGTGTGTTCATAATAATCCATATAAATGATTAAACGGAGATTGCAATAGGTCCCACCTAAGAATTAAATACAAAAAAGTCCCTTGAAATTATGAATTATTCTGAAGTCTCAAGAGACTTTTTGTATAAATCTTATTTGTTTAATTACCAGATTACCTTTTTTTTTTTTAAGTTTGCATTGACAACTAAAAGAGCAGTTGTTGACAACTATCACGGCTGTTACAAACATTTTCTCATATCACACCCTAAGTTGTCAAACCAACCTTTGTCAATCCTTACACCCTAAGTTGTCACCATTGCTCTTTCATGTCATGCAAACTTAAAAAGAAAAAAAAATAATTTGGTAATTAAACAATAAAATTTATTGCAAAAAAGTCTCTTGGGACTTTAGAATAATTTTATGATTCAAGGGACCTTTTGTATTTAAGTTCTTTGGGTGGGATAATTGCAATTTATGATTAAAAGGAGTTATTTAAGAAAAATAGCGTGTATTTTTACAAATAATTAACTCATCTAATTTCCTTGATTTATGTGAATTAATTAATTAGATCTTATATTTAGGACTGAAGAGAGTATAGGGACTTACTTCCTATTTCTAAGTCATCGTTGTTAAGAATTTATATTTTATTTTATCTCTGTTGGCAGATTATTGTAAACAAAACGGAGAGGGTCTACCACAATAGTGTGGGACTGCTTGTTTGGAAGCCTCCTCATTCGATTTTTGTTTTTCTGAAGATTTTCAAGACCTAAATTGGTTTACTAAGTATTACATGGATTAACAATGCTTGACATTATGCTAGATTAGAGACTCTGCATTTTCTCCTTTTATTTTCTTAGAAAGTGTTAGCCTCAGTATGCTCCTTCTCTTATCCTTGTGGGCCCCAGTCTGCTCATTTAGCAGGCGTTTACCCTCTTGAAACGGCGGGGGGTAATTTGCAACATTTTTCTAAGTTTAAGGAGGGCATTACACTAGTTGATTGTTTAAGATGCTCAGTGCTCCTGCAAGAATAGTTTGAGAGTATAATTGCCCGTTAACCCTTAAAAATTTGGTGATCTTTGCATCTTATTTCAGATGTTTTAACTTCTGCATTAAGTTTTGGAGCTAAAGGATGATTTAATATTTTTAACATATCAAGCATCACAAATTAGTGTCAGGCTGGAAAGGGGAAAAACCACAATGAGGCCATGGACTCAAATTGTTACACAATTGTATCCTGTAATTGTGAAGGAGACTTTTTGTGAACTCCCAATTTGTATGTCTACAGAAGACAAGTGAACTTCCTATCAAAAGAAGAAGAAAAAGAAGACAAGTGAACATCCAAGTGCCAGTTGAGAACTATGGTTTTATCTTACAAAGAAACCAAGTTATAGTCTGAAAACCTTTTTCTTTAATATTGTGTTGTCATTAAATTTCTAATATATCAATCTAATACGTTTGATTAACTTTTTAATGTTTGATTAACTTTTTAATTTATTCTTTTTTTTAAGTAGCTGTTGATTTGGATGCGCATTAAATATTTTGTTTTCATCCCTGGACAAGAATTGATATGTTGCTCCTCATCCCTTACTTGTTTGATGAAGGCCAAACATATCCAAACTATAGTGTAGGATGGGTCAATGTGAAAGATGTTGCAAATGCCCATATTCAGGCCTTTGAGATTCCTTCAGCTAACGGAAGATATATTTTGGTTGAGAGAGTTGTACACTACTCAGAACTCGTGAAGATTTTACATGAGCTGTTCCCAACATTACAACTTCCTGAGAAGTAAGTTGATTATTATTATTATAATTTCAAGGATGTATTAACCCTTGAATTTTTAGCTTTGTTACTGAGAACCTCACGTATATAATTTGCTTCTTCTGACTTATGTCCAAGGCCAGCTCTTCTGCCTGAAGAACTGAAAATTGCTCATTACTCGTAGCGAACTAAATGGCTTTCAGCGGTAGCAAGAACATTGCTTTGCTTCATCTCGTATTATTCTTGATTCTTTTCTTTTAGCCTTCCGAAGGAGTTCATGTCAGTCACCATTGTATATTCTGATCATTCTTACTGTGCTATACATGAAGAGACTTGAAGATGATTGGCTTTTTTTTTTTTTTTTTGTTTTACTTGGTAAACTGATAATAATGGCGTTTGGTTGTTACCGTTCATGTGGGAAAAATGATTGATTTCATTGATTCAAAATCTCATGTGTACAAGGTATAGGGATATATACAGTAAAAGAGATGAATACAAGAAACGCAAAATATTCTTATAGTACATAGGTTTTGTTTTCTCTTTGACCCGCGTGTGTTTTCCTTTAAGGTAGGGACCAGGAAGTACTATTTTTTTTGAACAGTTATTCAATCATATTTGTTGACCAAAATGGCTTGCTCTCTCAGCTTCTTTATAACGTCACATATTTTTAAGGCCGAGTCTTTTGTTTCTGATTTCATGTCTTTGTCTTTCACTTGTTAGGTGTGCGGACGATAAGCCCTTTATGCCAAAGCATCAATTTTCTAAAAAGAAGGCACTGACCTTGGGAATTGAATTTACCCCATTGGATGTGAGTCTGAAGGAGACTATAGAAAGCTTGAAAGAGAAGAACTTCATTAACTTTTAACTGTGATCTCTCTCAAAAACTATGTAGATAAATAAACGTTGATAAGCTTAAGCATGCTTTAAGACTTTCTTGGATGCAAACAACTCCATTGCATGTATTCAATGATACAGAAAGCAGTAATTGACCAATTAGGATGCAAGGCATGTATTGAAATAGTATTTCACAGGAAATAACTTCTGTTCACTTGTACTTATGAGGCTTATATTCAATGATAGGCAGGCAATGAGTCCCAAAAACATGTCTGAGGAAGTGAGTCTCTAATTGTGTGTTCTTTCTCACCTGTGGCTACCCTTTGTTCTGTATTGATTACTGAGTAGAAGACATCTTTCAGTGGGAAAATGACATTTGCATATCCGGCAAGGCTGGGTGTGTGTGTGTGTATATTTTGCCATCAAGGTTGATAATTATCTTGGGGGAAAAAAATCATTTTGGAGATACCTATAGTTTTTTCTTAAATTTTAATTTAGTACCTATACGTATTTTCTCTCTTAATTAAATTCTTAAATTTCGCTCTTTTAGCATCAATGGCTAATGATAAGGACTATCAACGCTAATAGGGTAAAGTTAAATAATTTAATCAAAAGAAAAAAATTATATAGATAATATCTCAAGTTCTTAGGAGGTATTTGGATGAAAACTAAATTATGGTTTTAAAATTGCTTTTATAGTACATGAAATAAATATGTATATAAGTTTGTTTCGCTTTGCAGAAAAGTGCTTTTTAAAAGCACTTATATATTTTCAAACAACCTTTTAATATAAGAACTAGTTGGTTAATTTGAATAGATTAAAAAACTTGTTAAATTAATTATTTGTAATAAATAAGTATTGTCAGTTTGTTAAATTAATTATTTGTAATAAATATGTATTGTCTTTCCTCAAATACTTTTATTAATCATGTGTATAAGTTAAAATTATTATTTGATAAAATCTTTAACATATGTAATTATTACAAAAACTAAGTTTAAGATAAATAGATAAATATAAGAGGAAAAATAGATTAGGCTGTTATATTTAGAATCAAATTGAAAGTCAAACCAGCTCATATATTAAGAATTAGAGGTAGTATCAAAGAAAAAAAAAAGGAAAAATATAGATATTTACAAAATTATTTTCCCTTATTTTTAAAGGCATCATCATATTACTGAAATTTGATTGAATGAAGATTTACCAAATTACAATTGCTCTTTTGATTAAACGTAGAGAATAGATGGTGGAAGTTTCACTTTTAGTGTGGAAGGGAAAGGTCACCTGTGTTGGTTTTTTTTTTTTTTTGGGGTGGGGGGGGGGGGAATCCAAGGTAATACTAAACACTGGATGAGTGGGTTCTAATCTGTAATTAATGTACACAAATTTAATAAAAATGAACCTTAAAATAACATCAACGTTAGACCCTAATAATTCAACAATGGTACTCTGGCACAAGCTTCATTACATAACTTGCAGATTAAAGCAATTAAAGAGATTAATTATTTTGCAAAATGATATTTATAATTTTTGTCAAGAACATCCTCAAACACTTGACTAGTTATTTTCTTGAGCGTTTTATATATGTTAAATTGTTAATAATCTTATAAAATTTGATGAGTAATGTTAAGTTTGATATTGACTAGTTATGAGTTATGTTTTATATTCCTGTGTGGGCTGGTAGCATAATTTATAAAGCTATTCCCTGTCTTATATTAAATTTTTAACAGTTGAAATTTATATTTTATAAAGCTGTTACCATCATATTAAATAATTAAAAAATACATAAATTCAATTTATTAACATTTACCACAAACAATTGAAAACTTTAGTAAGAAATTAAAAATTATTTTATGAAATATTTATAAATATTGAAGTTTTTTAGTTAATGAGCAAAAGGGCCCTAGAGCCTAGACTTATTTTTTTTCCCGGCAAAATTAAGTTGCCACTTACAATACATATATCAAAGGCCGGCTTCAAACTCTGCCCCCATCGCCAATGGTGGGGATGGAGACAAAGGGAAGAGGGGATCCTCTTCCAGCGGATTACCCCCATATACTGCAACAAACCAGAAAAATGCAAGTGAAGATTGTGTAGAAATGTTGAGAAGAATCACCCAATTAATATGTCACTGGCCGGAGATGTGTTGGACTCAGGGATCCATGGTGGATGTGGTTCTTCGGTGCGCTGATTTTCTCTCTCTGGCACTCGTGATGCTGCCCGAAGAATCCCCAAAGGATTGCTCGATCGGCTCGGAAAGACGGGTTAAGTTCGTGGAAAACCAGATTAGTGAATGGGGACGAGGTGAGTTTAAGTAACGGACAGAGAAACGGAATATTCGCTCCTCTGTTCCTAGTGTCTCTCCAAGCTATGACTTAAGCATTTTGGAAGTCAAAGCGCCGCCGCCAACTAAGACAAAACACGCTAGAGTCAAAAAGAATGTACATGGATGTGGAAAAAGTTGGACATATGGCATACATTTAATAGATAAAATGAATCTATTGAGTGTTTGACTTTACCAAATTGAAGGAAAGGTCGAGAGAGTATGGGCAGCAACGTAGGTGAAGGAAAGGTGGTGTGTGTCACTGGTGCTTCTGGCTATATTGCTTCATGGCTCGTCAAGTTCCTTCTTCTTCGTGGTTACACTGTCAAGGGGACTGTCCGTGACCCAAGTGAGTTCATCTTAAATATGTTCCAATCTATGACCACAAAGGAGCCAATTATATTTTGTTGTTTTATATAGTGTATATTCTTGGGTTACCAATTTTTGGTGCTTTGTAATTCATCACAGATGATCCAAGAAAGGTAGATCACTTGCTTAAGCTTGATGGTGCAAAGGAGAGACTGCGCCTGATTAAAGCAGATCTCCAGGAAGAAGGTTCCTTTGACCAAGCTGTTGAAGGGTGTGAGGGTGTCTTTCATACCGCATCTCCCTGTTATTTTGATCCCATAGACCCGCAGGTTTATATCATTTTCTATTTGTTGAAAGATAATTGGCTGTTCTCTTACTTTATCAAAGCACTTTATTTCCTGAATTTTAAATTGTTTGAAGAATCTATTTAGCTTGGGAGATGTGTTACAGTGTAGTTGCCTTCTTTTTGCATTGTTGCTTGAGAAATTAAGAAGTTATTCCTTCTTCGAAATCATAAGGCCTATGCTAGAAGAGTAGAAGGCAAAACGTTTAATATTTGATTTTGTCTTTAAAGCAGGCAGTTAATTTTTAAATTACATATTGACTACTATGTTGAACCTTTCCAAAAACTTGCTTCCTCCTCTGCCTTTGGCAAATAATAACACAAGTTCTTATAGTCAAATGAGTTCACCATTTCCTCATAGACTTAAAAATTTACATATCTTGTGAAATTTATGCAAAATTACTGTAGATAATAAAGAATCTAATGTGGGTTTGTAGAAGATAGAAGGAGAGAGAGGGAAAGGAAAGTCAGAGAGACAGGGAAGGAAGAGGATTAGAGAGAAAAGAGGGAAACTGAATCATGCGCATGAGAATTCATTAGATGATCAACTCATAAGTACAGAGGTTAGGATTGTATTTAAAGACAACCTAATAGCTAACTATCTACAGACTGCCTAAACTACCCTTCGGCCTTATTGAACTAGTGATCCATTATTAACCCATGTGGCTTATAGGATTAGCAACCACTCCTGGACCCAAATCATTTATTCTTCTATGATTACATAACAATGCCCCCCTTCAAAAACCCTTGTCCTCAAAGGTTCTGTTCTTGAAAAGTGGGATGTTGCCGCTGCAATTGGTACAAGGGCACCCAAGTAGCTTCTCCTTCTGGGAGCTGTTTCCACTTGACGAAAACCTCAGTGATAACTCATCCTTTTTTCCTACCAAGCCGTTTATTCAGAATCTGTTCAGACCAATTAAGAGGAGGATGGTGCTGCTTAACCTTAGGGTCAGGGCACAGTTTTAATAAGGAGATATGGAATACATCATGTATTCTTCAATCAGCAAGGAGTTCTAGCTTGTAAGTGACAGGCCCTATTTTCTGTATAATCCTATAGGAACCAAAGTACCTAGGAGCCAACTTCTAAGAGCTCCTTGACGCTGCAGAAATTTGACAGTAGGGCTGGAGCTTTAGGAAAACCCATTGACCAATCTGAAATTCCCGATCAGTCCGATGCAAATCAGCCCCTTGCTTCATAATGTTAATAGCCTGGTGTAGGTGGCGTTTAGCTATTAATAAAGCTTCCTTCCTTGCTGTAAATGACCTATCCACAACCACCACAATCGCATCTCTAGGTAAGTAGGGTATGGAATGGGAGGCTTTTGACCATATAGCAATTCATGGGGGGTAGCCTTAGTTGGTGTGTGGTAAGTGGTGTTATACCACCATTCATCCATTGCTAGCCATTTGCACCAATCTCTAGGCTTTTCCCAGCACATGCACCATAGATAAGTTTCTAGGCAGCGATTTAGAACCTCAAACTGACCATTCGTTTGTGGATGATAAGAGGAAGTCAATTTTTGATCAATGGCCAGCACCTTAAGGAATTCCCTCCAAAAGTTACTGATAAAGAGGTAGTCCCGATCACTTATTATTTCCATAGGAGCACCATGGGGTTTGCAAGTATTATCCAGAAAATGTTGAGCCAAAGTAGAAGCCGAGAAGGGGTGAGAAAGTGGAAGAAAACGAGGATACTTAATCTATCTGCCACCACCCAAGTTGTATCTTTCCCACACGACTTAGTGAGCCCTTCAATAAAATCCATTGTTACACTCTCCCATACTCTACTAGGCACTGGAAGAGGCTGTCACAAACCGGGATAAGCCACAGATTCATAATTATACCTAGCACAAGTATCACAATTTTTAATAAACTCTTTAACTTTAGCAAATAAGTTTTTCCACCAAAATAAGACTTGACATGCTAGTAAGTGGCATGAATCCCTGAGTGACCATCCAAATGAGTGGCATGAAGCCATTCTAGGATTTTTTTGTTTAATCAATTGTTATTGCCTATCACCAATCTGCCACTTTTCCTCAAAAATTCACCATCCCAAGAATAATTTCCAGCCATATCCTCTTGTTGTTGTAGCTGGATAATAAGGGCTTGTAAATCTTCATCTTGCTGCCAGCTATGTTTAATTTCTTCTGAGAGTTCTTCTAAACAAGTAGCGAGAGTAATTTGAAAAATTTCTTGCTTTAGCATCTGAGGTAACGCGTCGGCTGCAACGTTAGTATTCCCCTTCTTATATGGATCTCATAATCATAACCCATGAGTTTGGAAATCCAGTACATTTGAAATGAAGTTTTAAGCTTTTGATCAAGTAGATATTTTAAACTTTGTTGACCTGTCCTGATGATAAATTGCCTCCCTTCAAGATATTGATGTCAATGTTCAATAACTTGCACCACAGCCAATAATTCTTTCTCATATATAGATAAACCCTGATGTCTAGGTGCTAACGCTTTGCTAAAATATGCCACTAGTTGGCCTTGATGCATCAACACTGCCCCAATGCCACTTCCACAAGCATTTGTTTCAACCACAAAAACCTTCGTAAAATCTGGAAGCATTAAAACGAGGGCTGCTACCAAGGTTTCCTTCAATTTCCTGAATGTGGCAGCAGCTAATTCAGACCAAGAAAAATTATTCTTAAGCAGGTCATTTAAGGGTCTTGCAATTTGACCATAAGCCTTAATAAAATGCCGATAATAACCTGCCAGCCCCAAGAATGACCTCAATTACTTCACTGTAGTAGGTTCTGGCCATTCTAACACAGCCTGAATCTTTTTAGGATCGGTGGCTACTTTTCCATCACTAACAATATGCCCCAAATATTCTACCTGGGTGGCAGCAAAACAACACTTACTCATCTTCACAAAATGGTGGTTTTTCCTCAATATTTCCAACACTTGCCTTAAGTGCTAAATATGTAGGTACATAGTAGGACTGTATATGAGGATGTCGTCAAAAAATACCAATACAAACTTCCTTAAGGAGTCCCGGAAGATGCTGTTCATAGCACCTTGGAAACTTGTAGAGGCATTGGTTCGTTACCAACCACTCATAGTGTCCTGAGTGAGTTTGGAAAGCAGTTTTGGATGTATCTTTAGGTTCTATTCTGATCTGGTGGTATCCTGCATGCAGATCCAGCTTTGTAAACCACCTAACTGTCTTTAGTTCATCAAGTAACTTCTACCAGGGGAATAGGGTATTTGTTCTTAACCGCTCTCTTACCTAACTCTCTATAATTGATGCACATACGCCACGACCCCTCCTTCTTTTTCACTAACACGATAGGCGAAGCAAATGGCAATGCACTCTCCTGAATAACTCCATTACCTAGTAATTCTTGACTTGCCTCTCTATTTCATCTTTTTATGTTGCTAGATAACGATAGGGCCTTAAATTAACCAGATCAGACCCCTCATGTAACACAATAGAGTGATTGTGACCCTTTCTTAGGGGAGGAAGAGAAGTAGGTTCTGCAAAAAATCAGCAAATTCCTTGAGCAATTTCCTTGCACCTATCCCGGCATCATTATTTTCGTTATGCATACTCCCAGAAACTGTAACTTCTTCCTCCTTAATAGCTTGCAGTAAGAAGATTTGGCTCCCTTCCTCTAATTGATTATCTAGCTTGTCGACAATTCTGCAACTTCCCTGTGACATAGGTTGCAAAGTGCACAAATCGTCACCATACCAGAAAGTCATAGACATCTTGTTATAATTCAAGAGGCATGATGAGCAACTCCTTTTAACTATCTCAAACTGAGACCAATATCATATGTCCTAATGTCCATAATCCTCAAATCCCATTGAAACTCTTTCCCCTTCATGCGCTACTTAAAATTCCACCATCACCCACAGATTTAAAGTCTAGCCCCCCCTAAAATCCTAGCTTCAGGTATAACAGTGTCTCCCCCATCCAACACAGTTTCCTTGCTAAACTAGAGTCCAAATAATCATGAGTTGCGCCCTCATTGATCGATACCCCAATAGTTCCTTGGATGGCATGGAGAGAGATTTGGAGGCATTCTTCACTCTCAAAAATATCAAGGTTGTGAGCTATACCCTTCCTATCGTCTTTGGCAGCTCAATCAATTGAGGTTGCAATCGTTGCCATTGGGAACAGTTATGGCCCTTCAAAAACGTCTGGTGGCAATAGAAACATAAATTGTTGGCCCTGTAGTTGTTGACTTCTTCAGGAGACAATTTACGTGGCCCTTTAGAGTTGGGTCGGAATGAGCTTGCACAAGAACCAACAGAAACTGAGGAAAAAGAAGCAGTTTTGACCATCGATGAAGTGGGTTTGACCGAAGACACTCTTGTCACCAGATATTTGGGACCCACTCAAAAAGGAGTTTGTTTTGATGGAGCGCCACTTGTCTTGACCCTGCAACACATCACCACTCTGTCGTCTAAGGGCTAATTTCCCTTCTGAGTTGGTGCGCAAATTCAGATCATGGGCCTGCACAATGCTTCGAGCCTCTTCCATAGTCTGGGGACGCAAGATTCGAACCTGACGAGCAAAGTCAGGTTGAAGCCCTTCAATGTACGCTTGGACAGCGTGCTTCTCTGAAAGATGAAGTTTATAATGCAAGGAGTTGAACTCATCATCATAAGCTTCTAGCATGTTGGTTTGATGCAAACGTTTGAGTTCAACCATGGGTGCTTTGAATAGCTCTCCAAAACCGATCTTTAGCACTGCCTTGTAAGTATCCTAAGGAATGACACAATCACTGTAATCGTCTTCAAAGGCTAAATGCCAGATATATGCTTTCTCCTCCAAATTAATGCTTGCCATTAAGACTTGTCTATCTACCGGCATTTCATTGAGACAGAAAAATCGCTCACATTTAGCAATCCATCTTGGTGTACCTTCAGTTCTTAAAGTTCGCCCAATTCTTGTTCAACGATCTTGAGTCGTTTGTCCATTTGGTTCTTCATCTTTTGTGTCTGGGATTGTGTGGAGGGCATGCAGGCCAGGAAAGGTCGGCTTTGATACCACTAATGTGGGTTTGTAGAAGATAGAGGGAGAGAGAGGGAAAGGAAAGTCAGAGAGACAAAGAAGGGAAGAGGACTAGAGAGAAAGGAGGGAAATAGAGTCATACGCATGAGAATTCATTAGATGATCAACTCCAAGTACAGAGGTTAGGATTCTATTTAAAGACAACCTAACAGCTAACTAACTACAGATTGCCTAAACTACCCTTCGGCCTTATTGAACTAGTGATCCATTATTAACCCACACGGCTTACAGGATTAGCAACCACTCCTGCACCCAAATAATTTATTCTTCTATGATTACATAACAGAATCATGCCCACTTACCTGTTGTCCTTTAAGTATGTAAGAGGGTGGAAAATTGAACACAAGCATATCTTTGCTTGCTCTACTTTGTCTATTTTGTTGAACTAACACATTTCTGAAACAGAGAAATGGCTCTAGCTTATGCTTTTACATTGCAGGCCCATTACGGGTCTCCTTATTTTGATTATTGCTTCATTTACGGACTCTATCCTCATTTCAGACTGAACTTATTGACCCAGCAGTCGAGGGAACTCTCAATGTTCTTAGGTCGTGTGCAAAATCATCAAATGCAAAACGAGCTGTTTTAACATCTTCCTTTGCAGCAGTTACACATACTGGAAAACCGCTAACTCCTGATGTTGTAGTTGATGAGACATGGTTTTCAAGTCCAGATATCTGCAGGGGTATGAAGGTAAGTGTCAATATGTTATACTGATAAATGAAGTTTGTGATTCATTCAGGTTTCTTATTTTATAATAGTTGTCAATTCTTCTTAGATTTGGATACCAAGTTTTTCTCTTGCCATTACATTGGCCAATCGAACAGTATGATTTCATAATTAATTAATTAGAGAAGTGGAGTCCGTGGGCAGTGGTTTCTTCTATTCTATTGAGTTGTGGGACAAATTTTAACTAAAAATGATGAAATTGCGAGTCTGTTAGAGGGAGATAAATGAGAGTAGCTTGGAAGTTATTCTGGCCCTATACCACTTGTGTGGTATTGCAACTCTCTTTTGTCTCCCGGGCTACAAAATATACGTTTATATAGCTATAGGTCATGCTTCTGGTACTAATATGGATAAGACAACGATTATTTTAGCACTTTTTCATTGTGGGATGATTCAGCACTCACTGACCATGTCAGAACTCAGAAGCACAAGAAAATGACATCCACTAATGATGAGGGAAGATGAAGAGTAAATTGAAGGGTTTCTTGATGATGTTAGATTTGATGAATAAAAGGATAAAGCTTAGACTTAAATACTTTGTGAAATGTTGATGCCTTGTGTGATTTAACTACTTGATGCTGTGATTGATAGATGATCATCATGTTGTTGTGAGGCTTTTTTAAATGTGAACTTGGTTTATATAAATATATATATATATATATGTATGTATGTATGTATAGTGGTTATTATCTATTATTCTTTTAATCTCTTAAATTGTTACTACGTTTCCATGTAGCTCATGCTATGCTATGTGCTGAATGCAATATCATTTTACCGCCTTAGCAAAACAGGTATATTAAGCACTATGAATAATTAAGCATATAATATAAGGAAAATTATTAGAATGAGATTTCAGTTTAAACTAAACTTCATTTTGAAGACAAAGGAAAAGTCAAAATAAGAAAGTATCCTGTACCATTTAGGACTTTTGTTTCTGAATTATTTCTTATGTTGCCAATTGTTGTAACACAAGTTTGTAATCATTTAGTATTCGGCATTCTGCTTCAAGTTTCCTACAGCGTTATATTCTGTTCTTTCAGCGCTGGTATCATGTTTCCAAGATTTTGGCTGAAGAAGCTGCCTGGAAATATGTGAAAGAAAATGGTATTGACCTGGTTGTTCTCAACCCGGCATTTGTGATAGGGCCACTCTTGCAACCGTCACTTAATGAAACTTGTGCTATTATATTTAAGCTTATAAAAGGTAATTTTTATGTGCTCATTAGGTTTGCACTTTGCAGAAATACTGTCATGATCTGGTGGATTACTTGATGTTTTCAACTGAGCTACTTTCGTTGGTATAGTCAAATGAAAAGGGAACTCGTGTCAAAAATGTTGAAGTGGACTAATGTGTTATGTTCATTGAAATAAGAAAATGAGGGTTATGGGTGTTGAGAAACCTACTGAAATGGAACTCCGATGGATTTGGAGTTTACGTTTATCTAGAGTGAGTCTTAGATCATTATCATCTGAGGATATGGAGTTTAATATTACACAGATGCTCTAAACTCAGTTATCGTTAATCATTATTCTCAAGAGTATCAGTACTTCGTCTCTATCTGCAAAAAGTTTATCCGCCAAATTATTATAAAAGAAAAAGGAGAGGGGCTGCCACAGTATATGTGAAAATCCTTCTTATTTGCTGGCCACTTCATTTAATGTATGTTTTACCTGAAATTTTGCAATACTGATTTTGATCAAAGACCAAAGTTGACTTGCAAAGTATTAGCATTTGAATCTCAATGCTTACCATTATGCTAGATTACAGACCCCACATTTTCCTTTTTTATTTTTTGGGAAAAGTTTAGCTTCAATATTGCTGTTGACCTGACAGTGGCAAGACAATAAGAAAATATCATTATTTTATTTCATATTTTACACACGAAAGTAATTTGTTTGAGGGAATTGAAAGATGTCAGTTTTATCTTTAATGTATGCAGTCTTATATTGAGTTTTTTTTTCCTATTTATCTGTTATTGGCTTTTATTTTACATCCAATTTTTAGTTATGGTTTTAACAGTTGTAGGGGGTCTTTGGGATTCTTTCTGGCACGACCATTTTGACTTGTGACCTATTGTATCGTTAAATTACAAATTTTCCTTTTGTCATTAAATATCTTTTTTTTAATCAATTGATTAATAATTTTGGGGTTGCTTTCCTCATCCTTCACTTATTTGATGCAGGTCAGACATTTCCGAACTATAGTGCAGCATGGGTCAATGTGAAAGATGTTGCTAATGCCCATATTCAAGCCTTTGAGATTCCTTCAGCTAGCGGAAGATATATTTTGGTTGAGAGAGTTGCACACTACTCAGAACACGTGAAAATTTTACATGAATTGTTCCCAACATTACAACTTCCTGAGAAGTTAGTTACTTACTATTATTATCGTTATAATTTCATGAATGAATTAACTTATGAATTTATAGCTTTATTTCTTAAAACCTCACGCATACAATTATCCTTGTTTCTTCTGAATTGTGTCTGAGACAAACTCTTTTGCATGAAGAACTAAAAATTGCCCATTACTTGAAGCAAAATAAACGGCTTTCAGAGACAACTGGAGCATCTCATCATCTCTTATTTTGCTTATTCTTATCTTTTGGCTTTTCCAATCAGTTTCCATTTACATTCTGATCATCCTCACTGTGTAAAACATGAACATACTGGATGATGATGATAATTACTTGTTCCCTAGACTTGATGGCTCCCCCCCCCCCCCTTCTCTCGTCTTGGTGAACTGGTTTAATGACTGATGCTTCTTGTCATTCAATCATATTTAACAGCCAAAATGGTTTGCCCTCTCAGCTTCTTTGCATCCAGCTATATATTTATTTTAGGTCAAGTATATTTTTCTGATTTCATGTGTTCGTTCCCACTTTTTAGGTGTGCGGACGATAAGCCCTCCATGCCAAAGTATCAAGTTTCTAAAGAGAAGGCAATGACCTTGGGAATTGACTTCATTCCATTGGAGCTGAGTCTCAAGGAGACTGTAGAAAGCTTGAAAGAGAAGAACTTCATTAACTTCTAACTGTGATATCTCTCTCTCTCAAAAGAAATTATGTTGATGTGCTTAAGCTTGCTTAGGTCTGTGTCCTGGGTGTAAACAACCCCATTGCTTATATTCAATGATACAGAAAGCAATATTTATGATACTAGGCTTATATTAAAATAGGACTTCGTTGGAAATAACTTCGGTTTACTTGTACTAGTGAGGATTCTACTCAATGATCGGCATAGGCAGGGACAAGAAGTCTCATAATATGTACGAGGAAGGTTGCTGGTCAAAAAATGTACGAGGAAGGAAGTGTGTCCTTAATTATGTATTCTATGTCTTTTGGTGACTTCTCATTTCACACGTCGCATGTACGTCAAATGGGGTTAAAAGCCACAAAATACAATTACACAATTATACGTGAGATATAATACCCCAAGGGTGCCTTTGATATGAGCGATTTGGAGGGGAAGGGAGGGAGAGAGAAGGATTTTAATCATTTTCCTTTCTTTGTTAAAACACAAATTTTAAGAGGGGAGGAAAAATTTTAACAATTTTAATTAAAATTTTCCCTCCCCTCCCCTCCAAAATTGGGAGAATTTGGAGAGAAAGGATAATATTTTGTTATGTTGTGATCATTATGTCTATATTTATTTTTAATATTCCTATACTATTCTAAATCTCTTTTTTCTTATCTCCAGATGCTACTCTTTCCTTTACATGATCAAATAATTCATTCAAAGAAAAGATACAGTGCAAGTTGTGGCTGAACATTACTTCAATCTTTTTTTAATAATACTTCACGCTTTAGAGTATATTAGAATTTTGGTATAAGTATTGCTCAATATATTAAATGTTATTTACAATTCTATTTTATTAAACATCCTATAAAATTTGAAAAAATAATCTTAAATAAAATAAGAGTAAAATTGTCTATGTTAAAATATTTTTTCCTTCCCTCTCCTTATAGACCAAATAAGGTAATATTAAAACTCCTCCCTTCCCTTTTTTTTTTGTTTTTTATAAATCAAAACAAGGTAATATTAAAATCTTTCTACTCTCTTTCCCTCCTCTTTCTTTTATTAAAATTCCTCCCTTTCTTTTCCTCTCATTGAGCCAAACAGACCCTAATACGTAATACTCCTCCGGTCCTAATTATAAGACCCAATTGACTTATTTGAAGAGATTAAGGAAGTAAGTTAAGTTGGTTATTTATAATAAATAAGTATTGTCATTCCTAAAATATCCTTGCTAATTAAGTATATTGGCCAAAACTATCATTATTAGAAGGATTATCTTGGAAAAAAATACATAAATATAAGAGACAAAATGGATTGGGTCTTATAATTAGGACCAAATAAAAAGTCAAATTGGGTCTTATAATAAGGACCGGAGGAGTACTAATTTTAACAGGCAAGGCCTTTAAAGGCTTCTTAGGTTTGAGATAAGTCTCTCTACCTCATGGATATGAAAAGAAATATACTTGTGCTGAATTAGTAGCTTCCAATCTCAAATGGAAAGTTGAAACCGGAAGTAATATATCATTAACCAACCCCATTTTGTCGAACAACTTTCAAATTGTAAATGAGATTGCCCCTAACTTACTCCTTCCAAGAAGTCTCTGATTTGATCATTCCAATGCCCTCATCAGGGAATGGCAGCTACTGGAACCAAAATCTTATGAGATGCATTATAGAAGGGTCGATGCCAACAACATTATGGGCATTCCCCTTCCCTTAACCAACCAAGTTGACAAAATCTCCTGGGGTGGATTTCGTGATGAAAATTACAAGGCAAAAGCAGCGTTTAAGGTAATAATCAATCATCATTCAGTTTGCCCAATAATCTAAGCTCTTGTGATGGTTGGACCATTTGGATTCATAAAATCAAGAACATAAACTCATTAAGATGTTGGATCCTAACGCAATATGAATGTGATATCCTGTTGAATGTTAAATGGTGGAAATCCATTCCGAGAACCCCACAATTTTATCTTGCATGTTTCAGAAAGGCACTATGGTGGATTCTTGTATACAAATCAGATTACAATGTTCCAGAAAAGGCAATCAAATTGACGTGCATTGAGAAGAGAGTGATCACTGCGAAGTCCTTCCTCAGCAGCTCCAACAATTGTCTTGCCATGGATATATCAGCATTACTACGTTTCTTTTCTCAGTTTGATGTCCTCCTCACTAATGATGACTCTATTTAACTTAAGTTCCTCCTCTTGGTCTAAGAACTCCAGTAATGTAATTTCATCTCTTTCTTTTTAGGTAATATATATATGTTAGTTGTTTTCCTCTAATAAAAAAAAAAAAAAGCTAAGATTGAACCAATTTGAAAACCCTTTTCACTCCCTTAACTTGAGAAGGATTTCATCACGGCTAGGGATAGCTTTGCCGAGGCAAATATGACTCTTTGCTGAATATTGTTTTTGCTGATAAATTTGACAAGCCTTGGGAGGTCATAATATGAGCTAAACAATTCTAAACAATATGATTCAAGAATCTAGGACAGGGCCTGACCGTAAATGCCACTTTTGAGAACTTCAAAACTCCCACAAGCTCCTGACCACCTCGCACCAATAACAAACTTCCATTTAAGCTAATAGACACGTTTCAGTTAGTACAAGGGACAAAGAAAAGCCTCTAGACCAACCCAAGACGGGTCACATACGAATTTGGCCACCTGAAGTTCAAAGCTTAATTACCATTTCCAAAACGTGGAGAAAATGGAGTAACATAGGAACATTGATGTCATTAATCATTGAGAAATCCAAGGTACATGGAACTTCTTTCTTCCCTTTCATGAACACCCCAGATTTGGAAAATGACAAATATCCGTTTAAGCTAATAGACACAATTCAATTAGTACAAGAGACAAAGAAAATAACAAACCCTACAAGGGCATGTGGCCAATATTCCAAAAAGCATATCACTATTAGTGAGGGAGTGACTGCTTACCCTCCTTCTCCTTGGTGCGTCTAGTGCCTCCACTTGGGACAAAGGTTAAAAGGCGGGATGAGATTGAAATCTTAGTAATTAGGAGAAAAACAAGCATAATAGTCCTGTTATTTTTTTTCAACACTGTTCAAATCATACTTCCTCTATTCTTATTTACTTCTATTTACTAAGATTTTCAATTAGTCCCAAAATATATTCTTCTGTATTATTTATAAGTGCCCCTGGTTCTATTTATGAGTCCATTCTAGCATATTTCACCAAAACTAAGCAAAATCTTAAATCTTATTAACTTTGTTTTGAAATTTAATAACTTTCTAACTTTACCTATGTTTAATATACATGACACGTAATAAATGAAAAATAAAATAGTATATTCATACTAAAAATTTAATAATGTCTTACAAATAGGACAGAACATTTATCTGTACTTTATAAATAGGATCAAAAGAATAGATAGAAAGTATATATATTAAATAGGGTTAAAATTAAAAAAAATTGTTTAATTTCGATACAAAATTAATGAGATTTGAAGTTTTTTTTTAATTCGGATAAAATATTGGAACATGGAAACAACTTATAAACATATGATAGGGGTATTTCAACTTTTTAGGTATGATTATTATTTATTTTCAATAATGCTCTTGTTATATTTTGCTTTTTATTGGAGCTACGTGTGTCTTTTTTTCATGAGATCTACAGCCTTATCTCTAATTTTTATTATAAAAACTCACTAACTAATTAACACATAGTAATCAAAATAGTTAAAGATATTAAATTTGTGATAAAATTTAAGTGATTTCCAATATTACTCTTAATTAACTATATTAAATTCCAACATCATATTAATTTCTATTCTCTTACTACTTTTATTAAATATGGACATATATGAAAAAAAATTAATACTTATTGAAATAATCAAAAGCTCTTGTGAAAAAATACTAAGAATTTCTTCACCTCCTCTTATAAGAATAAACGGATGTTTGGAAAACCTTAGAAAAACTTTAAAAGAAAAAGAGCGAGAGAGAGAGAATTACAATGAAATTCTTAAAAAAATAATTACTAATAAATTTAATAACAGGTGAATAATTGTTATTTATGATTCTGAAACTTATTATTACGTGTTGTTCTAGTAATAATGTTTCTGATTTGAGATTTCATAATAGCTCTTTCGTACCAAAAAACAGTTTTAAACTCATCTGACATGATTAGCTAGCTAGAACTCCCTAAAATCGCTATTAAAAAGGAAGGAAGTACTTCTTTTTGTTTTTTGTTTTTCCCGAGTACAAAGTACTTCCTTTGGCATACGTAGTCTTTTCAATCATATTTGCGGTCCAAAATTTCTTGCCCATTCAGCTTCTCTGTATGGCAGTATCCTCGTGTATATTTATTAAAATCAACTGCTTTGCCCCTGATTGATTCATGTGTGAAGCAAGCAACTATGCTGTATTTTAAAACCAACTGCTTTGCTCCTCATTAAAACCAACAATGATTGGTTGTCTTCTTCCCGAAATGAATCACCGCCTTATCAGTTCAACCAACTATTTTGAGGAGACCACAAACACAAATTTTGACGAAGGAAACCAAAAACCTACGCTGCTGATCTCATTTATTGTAACTTATGGCCTCAAATGCCGATCACATGCATGAAACTGGAGTTCCCCTTGGCTCTCCCATGCCTTAATCTACACCTGTAATTGTGCGCTACGAGTTAAGACCGTCAACTAGTTGTATGTCTCAATCGACGCTTCGAAGAAGATGATGCGTTAAAGCCAACCATTTCACAGACTTGGGGTCTTCTTTATAAACAATGGGTACAATTCAAAGCCGGGAGGTAAAAATCAAGCTGAAGACTTTTCCTAAGTTCAAGCAGTGGTTTAGTAAGAACGAAAGAGAATGGAAAGCAACACAGGAAAGGGAAAGGTTGTATGCGTCACTGGTGCTTCTGGCTTTATTGCTTCATGGGTCGTCAAGCTTCTTCTTCTTCGTGGTTATGCTGTCAAGGCCACTGTTCGCGACCCAAGTGAGTACTTTCTCTTTTATACTGAAGGAAATTCTGTTTCGTTGATTTCTTCTTCTTCCTCTTCTTGTTAACGAAGAGATGGGAGTAAGGATTTATTTTACACTTCACATGAACCAAATTTAAAGTGTTTGCCGGTGCATGTGAGATATAAGTTCATTTCTTTTTTCTCTACTTTGTTGTATCACGATTTCTGGTTATGGTTTTGAGTAATTGGAAATTGAAGGAATGATCCAAGAACAGGGCATGCATAGATAATAAAAAAATGTACGGGTGTGTTGGCTGAAGATGAATAGGAGAGAAATGGAGGGAAATACACAGATTGCTAGATACGTCAATTCCTTAATTTTGCTTTTTAAGTTTGACGGAAATCAATTCTATTTTGTTGTTTCTTATCATTTTGAGATACATATTAGTGATGGTTTGTAACTCCTTGCAGATGATTCAGTAAAAGTAGACCACTTGCTCAAACTTGATGGGGCAAAGGAGAGACTGCAGCTGATTAAAGCAAATCTCATGGAAGAAGGTTCCTTTGACGTGGCTGTTGAGGAGTGCGAGGGCGTCTTTCATACTGCATCTCCTGTTGCTCTCAATGTCAAAGATCCACAGGTTGACATCAATATAGCCACTCTACTTCATCTTTTGATTAAAGAATCTCTGTACCAATTTTTATCATCTTTTGATTATCTTATGCCCACTGTTAGATGACTATTTCTGCATAGAAATAAAAAGTCCAATAACAGGAAGACAAAAGCTTCAACATTTCATTTTGTCCAACAAAGTAGGCTTCCACTTTCCCAAATACACAAGACATAGTGACCTTTCTCAATAGCTTGCTCCCTTTTTGTGCCTTGGCAAACAGTAAAACAATATCTCGTATTGATGACCTAGTAAGTTCACATGTAATCTAAGACTGTAAGTATTATCATTTTTGGAGTTTTCCTTTCGATCTGCCAAAAAAAAAAAAAAAAAAAGACTTTGGAGTTTTATTTCATTAATCTGAAAACTGTTGGGCAAACTGGAGATTTATGCTAAACTTACTGTGAGAATAGAGTATCATGTGTTGTGTCATTGGAATGTTGTGTTTTTAGTTAAGGGTAGCTTGGTAATTTGCTTAGTTGTAAACTAGGCGTTAGTTTAGTCATTGTTTCTGTTATTTTCGTTATCTATATAAGGGTGTAATATCAGACCTGAATTGTTGCTGATGATATCGGTGGATTAATCCAGCGTATTACTTAGTACATCTCGTCTCCCTGTTTCTCTCTTCTTTGTTTTCCCTATCTTTCTGGTTCTTTCCTCTCTTTCCCTATTCTTCCCTTCTCAATCTTGCCTGGTTCATATTATAGAACCATAACATCATGCCTTGGATGCCTCAGTGCCCATTATCCATTATGTAAGAGGCCATTAAAATAGTGGCATATCTGTCCCTCCTAGCTACTGCTCTTTACCACTTGAAATAACGTCTTTTAGAAGCAAAGAAGTGGCTATAACATAGGCCTTTGGCTGTAAGGCTCATTTAAGATTGGCTTATTTTATTACTGCAGGGACTTATAGTCAGTAAACTACAACATGGCATATTTTAGCAAGATTGACATCCAAAGAAAGTGAATTGTTGACTAATTCAGAGTGACATGCTTTGAGATTCTCCCGAATCTCAGTTAGAGATTTTTCTCAACCATGAACTTCTAATATAAAGGATTTTGTATTTTTGGCTTTGGAATCTATTAAGCTCCCACGAGTTTAAATTAGTCACAAGGCTGACAATCTTTTAAATCGCCATTTTATTGTCTGGTTAAATAGGTTTTCTTACTAAATTCTTACTGTTGCCTTTTTTTTTTTTTTTTTGGTGCATTTCAGGCTGAATTAATTGATCCAGCAGTCAAAGGAACTCTTAATGTTCTCAAATCATGTGCAAAATCACCATCTGTGAAACGAGTTATTTTAACTTCTTCCACTGCTGCAGTTGAATATAATGGAAAGCCTAAAACTCCTGAAGTTGTAGTTGATGAGACTTGGTTTTCAAATCCAGATATCTGTAGGGAATATAAGGTATGTATTATATATAATTCACTATACTATCCAGGTTGAGATGCTGAGCTTTTTCAAAGGCTTACAGGCCCCATTTGACTTAGCTATACTCCAATAATTCATTACAGTTGTGAGAAATTGGCAAGGATGTTGTGGAATTCTTCATACTTCACTTACATAATTTAAGGTTATTAGGGGTATTTCTCTTTCATTGTATAATCATCTAGCTAACTCTTTCTTTGCACTCATCAGGGATTTCTTTATGTTTTAAATGTCCATGAGTTTTTATCCTTCCTTATCCTGTGTTTTTTGTTTTTTACTTTTTTAAATTTTTTTTTTTTTGCCATGTACCAGCGATATTATTTCTCCTTCTGCTTTCTGGGTCTATGAATGGATGTCCCCAGTGGTTGTAAATCAGTCACAATGTAGTATACAACTAGTTCTCGGTTCATTTATTTTTTGTGACTTTATTCTCTATGAAAGCTGCATGTTTTAATTATGACAAAAGACAGTCCCTTGAAATCAGTTGTGATGTGATGCAGAGATTGCCCATTAAACTTGCGAAATTGCTTCAGCCATTTTCCTAATCTGTTTATTTGATAACAGATCATTACTCTGAAACTTGTATGCTCTAGAAAATTGCTGCTGAGTAGTGTTGCTAATGTATACGTTCCAACTTCCAGCGTTTTTAACATGATATTTCTCACAAATAATATTTTATAATGCCTTTCAAGTTTTCGCTATTTTTATTTTGTGCTTTCAGATCTGGTATACACTTTCCAAGACTTTGGCTGAAGATGCTGCCTGGAAATTTGCAAAAGAACACAAGATTGACTTGGTTGCTCTCAACCCAGCTGTGGTGATTGGGCCACTCTTGCAACCATCACTTAATGAAAGCTCTGCTGCAATATCAAATTTAATAAATGGTAATTTTCATAGATTCATAACGTCCATGCTGTATGGAGCACAAAAATAAATTGTCACAGTATTTATCTTCATCTGTATTGTCTGATCTTTCAACTAAAATGTTTGCTCTGGCTCTAAATGGAAAAGAGAATTGGTGTCAAGATGTTGATGTGTGCAAAGAGATTATGGGAGCATGATGATTTTAATCAGAGACTTTATGGTGACTTATTTGATGTGTGTTTTTGGAATCACGATGCAAACCATTATGCTACATAAGATCCAAAACTGTAATGCTCTTTACTATTGTCCTTTTTCACTTGAATTAGCAAATTAAGACAGCAGCAATCATAATTTCATTTTTTTCAAATAAAAGAAGAAATTTTCTTGTACAGATTTGAAGTACAAATTCATAGAAATTGAGTCTCTTAGTGTCTATTTTCGTTGCCAACAGAGAAGGTGTACAAAAGTAGGGAACGTAACTCCCAACCAATCCCACTTAGCTAATTCAAAATTTAAGTTAAAATATCATAAAAACTAATATCAACCAAGATACAGGAAACAAAACAGAAGTGATATGTGTATATATATGTCAGGAAGGAGTAATGCTAGTTGAAAGGATACAGTAAAACTCAAGTGAGATCTCTTAACACTTTCTCTGAAGTTGTGGAGTAGACTATTCCCTTGCTTACAAATTAATCTTTTAGTCTTAGGTGGGTCCTTTGATTTTGGATAGTCGTGTAAGTTATAGTTCAAGAATGCTCTTTATCAAGTTTTTCCATAATGAGGAGCAGGAGCTTATGAACTTCAATTGTTTTTATTCAATCATTGTGCGCAAATGTTTTTCCAATAATAAGAGGGTGTTTGGATTAGCTTTTTTGAAGTGATTTTAAGGTGTGAAAGATAAATATATGAAAGGAGTTTTGTTTCAATTTATATGAAAGTGCTACAAAGAAGCTGAAACAAACACTCCTTAATTATAGCCATAGTTTCACCAAATATTTTCTTGGATACATATTAAACTCAAGATGGCTGAGTTTAACTCCTAGGCCTTTGCAGAGTCCTGCTTATTGCTTTAGAAGTTCTGGGTGGCAAACTTTACATTAAGACAGTTATAGTTTTTGATTTGTTTTTCCTTCAAATTTGACCTATATGTGGTACTGTCATTGAATTTCTTCAACAATAAGCTGATTAATTATTTATTAATTTATTATTATTTTGAGAGTTCTAGCTGATTTGAATGTGCAAAACAATTTCTTGTCGTGGCCTCAAGAGAAAACTGTTTATTTTTCTCCTTGGACTATTCTCAAGCTCGTTTGATGCAGGTGCGCAAACATTTCGAAATTTATCTTTGGGCTGGATTCATGTGAAGGATGTTGCAAATGCTCATATTCAAGCATTTGAGATTTCTTCAGCCAGCGGAAGGTATTGTTTGGTTGAGACAGTAGCACACTACTCTGACATTGTGAAGATTTTGCATGAGCTATATCCAACATTACCACTCCCACAGAAGTAAGTTAATTGAATCTCCACGTCCTGAAACCTCTCTCTCTTTCTCTCTCTCTTCCACACTCACTGATATGTAATTATGGATTTAGATAAGATTTTGTTAGATTCGCTGATTATTAGGATTGTATTATGTTTTATTTAGATTTAAATGGGATTTCATATTATTAGTAAGATTTGAATTAGATATTTGATTGGGATAAGATTAGGATTACCCTTGACTTGAAAATAAGGATAATCGTCAATCTTAATCTCTAATGTTTTGATTTCCTAAATTATTCACTACTCTTTCAGTCCTAAATATAAGATCTATTTTGTAGTGTAGATTATACTATAAAGTAGGTTTTATATTTAGGACCAGAAGAATATAATATGTTACTCTTTATATTCATTCTCTATTTTTCTCTCTCACCTTTCTTTTCACAATTCCTGACACATAGTGGACTCATTGCATTCACCTCTTCAGAGATTTTTAGAACCTGCACTGCAAATGAAACTTGTGTATCGTAAAGATTTGTTCTTCCAAAACAAGTGGATGACTTGGAGATTGAACTTGTGTACTCAAATAATTTGCACCCACTTCTTATTCTGAATTGCCTTGGCATTTGCCTATTTGTTTGAAATTTTTTTCTCACCTCATTTCTTGCTTCCTCAATAACTTGTTAGATGTGAGAACGACAAGCCCTTCATGCCAGTGTATCAAGTTTCCAAAGAAAAGGCAAGGACCTTGGGGATTGAGTTTATTCCCCTGGAGGTGAGTCTCAGGGATACAGTGGAAAGCTTGAAAGAGAAGAACTTGATCAATTTTTAATTGTGATCTTTCTCCAAGGAAGGGAGTGTTGAAAACTTGAAACATGTTTTAAATATGTACCTCTGGTGTAAAAGGCTTTTGTTGAATTTTCTACGAGCTTTATCAATGTGTGTCAGTTTGTGAGATGTCTTACAAGCTTATCCATTGACATGATAGATGATAACTAATGTTCCCTCTTGTCCCTATTATAAAGCATTTTTTTAAAAAAGAACAATTATTTCTGATTATAGGTCACCAAATATGATATTAGTTACGTTTTATAATATTGTGCCTATTTAAAGTTTGATGCAATTTTTTCTTCTTCTCAAAATGTATTTTACGGTTTCAAATGTGGATAAATATGATTTCTTATATCATTTTCGAAATACTCACTTAATTACTTCGTTTTAGTGTGGGTAAGATAATTGGAAGTGTATAAGAATTAAAAGGAGTGTACAAATATGATTTTTGCTGTCACAACTTTAAGAGCCAACCTGATCAAATATTTTTGTGGCTGAACCAAATCTTTAACTGGTTGGTTCGTATGAAAATAGTTTTCAAGCTTTGATTTTATACTAACATACCATATACTCCTCTTGTCCTTAATATAAGATTTAATTCTTGAGTTGGTTTTGGTCTTAAATATAAGACTCATTTATCATATTTATTAATTTTCTCTAAATTACTCCTATAGATATTCCCTCAATCATAATCAAGTAGAAAAGGGAGAGGGGTATTAAGAAAGATGATTATGGTGTTTTAGGAAAAATGTCTCACTTTTTTTATAATTAACTAATTTAACTAACTTTCTTAATCTAATCAAACTAGTTAAATGGGTCTTATACTAAGGATCGGAAGAGTATATATATAGTCGTATGGTATGGTAATGTATACTAATGCATTCAATAGCATATTATACAACAAGTTATATATAGTCGGATAATATGTTAATACATTCAATAAAATATATTAGTTTTTAACTACAACTTGCTTTGATCATTCCATGATTAGTAAACGGCGATTGATTCAAATGACATTAGGTGGAATATTATTATATTCACTACTACAAAAATATAAATACTTGGCGGTTATTTTTAGTCATACTTGACTGTTTATAACCATCAAATATGGAGGCATCAAATATTTGCTTCTCTAATATTTGACGATTAATAATTATCAAATATTTGACACAATACTTGACGGTTTTGATTTAAAAACCATCAAGTATTATACCTAATACTTGACACTATAAAGTATGTGTTAGATATACTCGACGATTATTTATAGAAACCGTCAAGTATGTTTTCCTCATACTTGACGGTTATTATCTGTAACTGTCAAGTATTATGTATATTTGACGGCTATTAAATATAACCGTAAAATATATGTAGAATGCTTGACAGTTATATTGAATAATCATAAAGTATTATGCACTTTTTTTCTTTTAAAATGAGGTGGCTTCTTTTTAGCGGTCCTTGCGTTTTGAATACAAAAGGCAGTAATAGAGCAATATCACACACACACACACACATCAATCCAACCAGCAAATTAGAAATAGAAATATGTACTATACAAAAAGGAAACTTGGACAAGAGAAACTAAGACAAAATTTGTCAAGTACTAAACCAAAATCAAAATTGGCTATTTACAAAAACTATAACAAAATTGTCCAAGTACCTAAACCAAAAGCATCATTGAACTGTGAGAAATAAAAAAAAAAAAAAAAAAGAAGACAAATACCAATCTTCTTGTCTATCTATTCTATGCACACTGATGGTACAATGCCATTACCAATTCTTCCATAATTTCTTTCATCTGACTGGATGAATATCACGTGCAATATGTATCTGCAAAGTATTGTATAAAAAAACAAAGAATTTGATGATGTTAGGTATAAATGTATAATTAACGTAAGTATAAATTGAGCTTTGAATAAATACATGTTACGGTAATAGGGATTGTGTTAGCATTGTGCATAAATATCTCTTTCATGAACTTCATGGCACAATATCCACAATCTGTGCTTTTGTTTGGTTATAGTGGGCACTGTAAAGAGAGGTGAAGGAAAATATATTAATGATGATCTGATGATAAACTATATTTAGTTGAATAGTTAATGGTGATGAATACCTTCACTTTTTTTTTTCCATGGGAACATGGAATCGAATAGGTCGCCTTTGATCGGGGGGCATGTTAAGCCTTGATTCGTGCAGAACAACCATAGAGCTTTGAGAATATAATGAAATTAAAAGTTAATAATTGTCAAAAATTAGATAGAAAAAAGAAATTAAATTCAATGTGATAAAGCACATTCAAGATACCTGTTAAATAGTGATTGCATAAATGGTTGATTGGCTGGATCCCCATTAAGAGAATCAAAACACCAAAATTTTTGCCTTGAAGGGATTGACCACAATAAGCATCCAGTGTCCCCTAAATACAATAAAGACAATGAGAACAATTAGAAACTATTATATGATAAAAAAATTAAAGAAAATTTAGTATACTTACCCTTGGTAGTAAGGTGCCAAAAGAAAGTGTCCTTGTTCTTTACAGCCCTTGAAATGAAGATATTTACCAAATCCCTCAATAAGTCTTGCTTCATATTAGGGCTGTGGCCGGCAAAGGTATGGGGACTGATGAATCTGAACCTTTCATCAAGGTCACCAGGAACAACAAAATTCTTGTAAAGGCACCTAATTGTCCAAACAAAAATATCAATATAATAAATGTTATAAGTAATTAAGTATTTAATCATGTCTTGAGAAATACTTTATATAAAAGTTATAGGCATTCGTGCTAGCCATTTCATGAGACAGAATTTCTTTTAGTACCTCATTTGTAACGTACTCATATGCGGGTCTACCATAAACCTCTAGCTCAAAGTTGAAAGGAATCATCAAGTAGTGGCCGTGTTCTAATCTTGCCCCAATTGCATATTCCTCAAGACATTCTATATCTTGATGACACTACAAGAGTAGGCTCAGAGGGCTTCTTCTGTGAACATGACAATGACTGATTTCTCAACAGGTTCTTCTTCCCCTTAGACTAACAAATATATAGTTAGCAATAAAATAGAATTTATACATTGTTTTAAATTAGCTGAAGGTTTCAACATATATACACCTTTTTAGGCTGTTCTAACAAAATAAGACGTCCAGGCCAAGCAACAAAGCTACTCACTGCTTGGGCTATTGTCTATACATCTGGGGTGGGCACAGGAAGGGCGTAGTTGCCATCTATAGCAGTGTTCAACTATAACTTTACATGATTAGTAGGGAGAGGCGTATTATGAATCATGGTCTCCCCCGGCAAGTTGAACATGTAGCCTGGGGTGACGGTGTGATGTTTAGGGCTATTTGTCATACACTGGACATCTAAAGACAAGCAGTATTATACCTTAGGTAGAGAGGGGAATGTGTAGCTGTCCTTTCCGCTGAGGCTGAGATTCAAAGCTGGCTATGGTGCTTGGCTCTTAAACAATTGCTCAATTAGGAGCACTTAGGCTTTGACCTGCTCCTTTAACCAACCCGTTTCCTCCTTCAACTCCATAAACTCAACTGAAAAGGGCACATTTTGCCTAGCCCTAAAATAAGCTTGCTTCATGGCTCCGAAGCTAACACCCCTAAGACAACCGGGGTGATCAGGAGTCCCCAATGCCATCCTCAACATATCTTGATCGTTTGATGGATTGCTTCTTTCTTGGGAAACCTCTTGGGACATAGTTTCCTATGCAACAAATATTGTTAGTATTGTCACTTTAAGATACTAATTAAACAAGAATGCACATTAAAACTTACCATCCTATTGACGATCTTCTTCGCGTGAGGATTATCAATTTGTCCGTCTTTATTTTGCCTGGCCAATACCGCAGCATTTGATGGGATGCAGTAATTTTTTATCCTTCCTTTTCTGTCACTTCTTTCTCGGGGCTGACATACCACAAGCGCCCTTTCTGATAGGGATATTCATTCTTCTTCACCCTCTCCTTATTTTGGGTGCTTAATTCCTATGAAAACAAAGAAGATTTATGTGAACACATTAAATAGTAAATGCAATTCATTTTAGAATGGAGAATAAATGTTACCTAAAATTGCTTTTCGCGACGTGACTGAACAAAAGCTGCCCAATGCTCTTGTTTGACCACTTCCCACATCAGGAGAGGAACCTTGGACTCGTTAGCTAAGAAAGGATCTTTCAAGTATTTCTTTGTAACGAAATAGTGAATTGAGCGTACTACTGTCCAAGCCTTCCCCAAAACATACTTCTTTTTCCTCTCATCAATGTCAAATCCTGACTGCAAAACATAGAAATCAAACTATTAGTTTGAAGTATCATGTGGAAAAAGTAAATTTGACCTATCATAATAATATCTTACCAATACATCATGCCAAATAGCATCCCATACTGCGTGGTCGACCTTCCTCTAGTGTTGCATAGTGATCAGCACAATGCTTCTTGCCACAGTGCCAATAAGCTAATAAACTTATTTGATTTCACAGCTTGTCCTTTCTTATTCCACTGCACAACAAACTTTTTCCCCTTTGATCTCGCTTTAATCACTTCTTTTATGACACAGAGCTCTCTCTGTATACGTTGTGCCTCTTCCTGCAAGTGCTGCTCGTGTTCAGTGGCATTGGTGGGTTGAGATGAATTATTAGTACAAGATCTACTACCATCCACCATTGATAATAAATTAAAACACATAGCATTAAATGAGTGAATAAAATAAAGTCATTAGTAACATGAATGAATCAAACATAATGAAATCAAGTAAAAATTAACTCAAACAATAATAAAAAGAATTTACATAATCAACTAGCTCTTTTTCTCTTTTTACTTTTAGCTTTTTGTATATTCTTAATTTAAACTTTTTTATCTTCTTATGCAGCACTTTCTTTTTCTTTGAAATCCATATTCCTTCATTGTGATCATGCTTGATGTATATGGATTGATTTTCATTCAAAAGATCTTCAAGTGATGTCCCTTGAAATGGATCATCATCAAATTCATTGTCTTTATATCCCATCTCTTCATTTATTTTATTGGTCAACAAGACAATAGACTATCCTTTTGTAGTAGAATTTGGAGCATAAAAAACTTGTCTAGCTTGAGAAGCCAAAACTTGTCTTTATACCCTTCCTTATTCAAGTTCAATTGTATGAATCTTAAGTCATCAACCCTCAATGCATTATTGTCCACCCAGTTGCTACTAAGTACTGCAACCCTAAATCCAATATAATCTAGCTCTCGAATATGCTCAACCACCCAAAGTATGACATATTTCCATAGATGGGATTT